GCCCTTACCAAACGTCGGGAAGCGCGCCGGGCGATGAGGGGCAACTGGAACTCAGCGACGTGAAGGGTTCTCAAAGTAGCGTGTAAGGGAGTGACTACAGCAGTCGAAACGGGCATTTATGCCCACCTGGACGGATATGTGACTGAACTCGAAACAAACTACAAAGATCGCAACATGCGAGGACTGTACCAACACCTCAAGAGATCAGTGGGCCTCAGCGGGAGACAAGCGGGGGGACAGCAGTTCGTCGCGGGTGAGAACGGCGTGTTGCTCCGGAACAGGGACGACATCCTCCAGCGGTGGGCGAGATTCTTCAGCACCCTACTCAACACCGAATCCCCCACCCTGAACCCACACATAATCGGTCGAGTGACGCAGCGGCCAGCGACACGTGACACTCAACGGTTGAAGGATGTGCCAGAACTCGAGGAGGTGGCACGGGCAACGAAAGGCCTCAACAAGTGGAAGGCACCCGGCCATGACTCCCTCTCTGCCGAGTTGCTCAAGATCGATGACGACGAACCCTTTGTCTTGGGACACCTCCATACCATCCTCGTCAAGGTGTGGAACGGAGGAGATATTCCGCGAGTGGAAGGATGCAACCATCAAGGTGCTGTACAAGAAGGGTGACCGGTCCAACTGTAACAGCTATAGGGGGATTTCGCTATTATCTCCCGTGGGCAAGGTCCCCATCAAGATCATCACCAACCGTCTAAGCGCCTTCTGCGAAGCCAACAACATCCTCCCGGAGGAACAGTGCGGATTTCGACTCCGGCGATCCACCGTCGACATGCTGTCCGTCGTGCGCCGCCTCCAGGAGCTGGGGCGGAGAAAGAAAATACCGCTCTACATGTGTGAAAGGTAAACTACGCGGGGTGCAGCAAGCACGTTCTGGACGTTACTTTTTGGCACCGGGTAGTCGGCCGTGTTAGGCCGAGAGAGAGAGGTTAAGAGAGAGAGTTGGAGAGAGCGTGGGAGAAGAAAACTTGATTGGAGAGAGACGGTGGTGGTGGTGGAGAGAGAGAGGGAAGAAGTGCGCAGCACGCACGCAAGCCTCAACATCGCACCGACCACGCCCAAAGGGTCCCCGTGACTGCGCCGGTGGTACCCTTCAACACACGAAATTCCCAACACGTATCCCCGTGGGATCCTCACGACCAGATACTACTGCGAGTATATCTAACATCCCCCCTGCTCGCAACAGTTTCTGACTGAAAACTTCGCTACACCCGATATCTCAACCTAAAGACGTCTTTCCCAGAGTATATGCCATGAAGACTTGACCAGAATAATATAAGAGAGAACAACAATTCAAATAAACATGAATGCTGCATCGCGCGTAACAAATACTTGGCGCGGGAAATGAAACAAAACGGATAACAAAACAAGACCAAAACACAACCCATCAGAAAAACGATAAAATGTTCATGCCAAATTCAACACAAAATCACGGTGAGACTCGAAAGCATCCTTCGACAAACTCTTGGTATGAAAGTCTGCACGCTGGTACGGCGACGGCACGTGGATCACCGAAATTTCCTTCCGCTCTACCAGTTCCCTGAGAAAATGGTGCCTTACATCTATGTGCTTCGAGTTCGAGTTTGAGATGGGGTTCCGCGCTAGTTGAATCGCCCCCTGGTTGTCCTCGAAGATGGGGATGCGCGGCATGCCGACCTGCGGCAACATGAAACGCCAAATCTGCCTCAAAATCTCCTTCACTACGTCACCTAGCGCGACGTACTCTGCTTCGGTGGTCGAAAGCGTGACACACATCTGCGTTCTGGAAAACCAAGACACAGCGCCTCCTCCACATGTCACGATCCCCCCTGATACCGACCTACGGTCTGCTGCCTTGCTCACAAAGTCCGCATCAGCGTACCCCTGCAAGATGAATCCCTCTACCAGTGCTATTTCTGCGGGGGTTCCGCCGCAAAAAATGTGCGTGCGCAGATCTCATCTGATTTTGGGAACGCCCCGCAGTTCTTTAGAAACCATAGGGCGGAACTATAGCGGCGGAGCATGCTCAGCGCAAGGGCGATACCTCGATCCACGGAAGTCAAACACTTGGTGAATATTGGACGCTGCCATGGATAGGTAAGCGAGGGGTGTTGTGGCCCTCAAACAGAGAGATAGAGGTGGTTGCAAGTAAGAAATCGGCACCGCGGAATTGCGTGTGGAACATGCTGTTTTGCTGCGGCGGGTTTGTGTCGCTCTGGTCTGCTGCCCACACATGTGTCTTGCGACTCGCTGGTGC